TTAACATAGTTGATCAAATGAAGATATAATGTCATTTGGATGAATCGGCATTTGTAAAATATTCTTCTTATGCTTTTTTTTTAAAGTTAAAGCCATCGATCATGGCTGTAGGACGGCTTGATTATTAATTAGTTGTCCATTAGACTTCATTTCCTATGGCTTATGAGGGAAAAGTAAACGTATGCTAATTTGTTTTAGGCAATTTAGTCTATTTAATTTCATCTTTATTCTCTATTAACGCCTGGAGATTTTAAATTAATATATATGACACTTGAACATGCATGGTGGCAATTCACCAGAGCACACTGAATGCAAGGCTAGTTTGTGTTTATAAAGGTAGTTATGACCATTTGGACTTTGATTTAAAAAGTAGGTATTTTTTATGAAGCGGAAATTGGTAAAAAGATTATTTTGTGCAATTTTTAAAACCACAATATAATTAATACAAACTGAGCATAAAAGTTGCCTCAGATGCTACAAATTAGGCTGGCTGTTAAAAATAACAGTATCCCCGCGTGCATCCCTGCTCCTGTTACAGTGTAAAACACTCATTAGCGCTTCTAAATTAGATGGATTTTTTTTTTCCAACCTGAGGGTTTGGACAAAGTTATTATTATTTTTTTTAAATGTATGCATTAAGGCAAGGCTTTAGAAATGTATTTTTCAGCTTTGGGAAGATATGGAAATGAAGCAAACTAATCACTGTAGCAACCAGAGACTAAAAATAAAAAGCAATTTAGTCAGAATGAGATTGCCTCTACACTGCTCTCTGAGGGTGATGGGCGGGAGTGATGTCATGTCTGTAAATAATGTCCCTGGTTCTCACATGCCTGATAGGGCAGCAGAGACGGTACCGTCCTCTCTCAGCTAGAACAAGCCAAGGAGGCGGCTTCGTCCAGGACTCAGGAATGGGGTGGCCCTGGGAAGATATGTCAAGGTGCTATTAAGATGTGGTGAGCCAGCCTCTCTGTCTGACCCCCTGAGCCCGGGAACCGGGCAGCGTGGCTCAGCCTTCCTGCTCACTCTGTCATCAGGGACACAAGCCAGCTGCCCCAAGCCCAGGGGCTGTCCCTTTACATTCCTCTTGCTGGGGAGATGGAAAATTCTCTTAGACATGCTCAGCAAAGTTTGCAAAACTTAGCTCATTTTAGACTCCAGCTTTCTCAAATGTATTCTTAGCGTTAGACCACCCTTTGATTTTATCTTTGGTCCCAAGACTCTTATCTCATCTCTATCTTTTTAACCAACAGATCTCCGAGCAAGTTCTCTAAGTGGCCCCTGGGGATTTTTTTGATTCCTTCTCAGTTTCCTGTTTGTCAAGGCCGGTTTTTAATAAGAGTGTCAGAGAGTCCCAAGTGCATTTGGGCCGTTTCCCATTTTAGAGTTCCTGCCCAGAAGGTCACACTTATCTTCACTCTCAATGTTTTGAACTCTGCTTCCTGAGAACTGAAGATATAGGTCTGCCCATAAGCAACGTTGCCTGTCTTGTCAATGGAAAGGAACTAGCTAATGAGGTCACTTTCTCAGTATGGAATCCAGTGAAAGGAAAACAAGTATTTATTGAACATTTCCTTGCTCCAGGCACTTTGTTACAAAGAGCTGGCTGAGGAATGTGGGAGGCAAACCATTTTAAAGTAATAATTCCAATACAATGGGATAAATGAATCAAAAGAGATATGTGCGATGGATAATGGTATACAAAGGCAAGAGTGAATTGTGTCTGGGGGAAATGACACTAGCTGGGCTTTGGAGAGAAATCAAAGTCAGCTAGGCCAACATAAAGGTAGAAGGAATCTGCGTTGTGCAAAGTCTGGAGGTATGAACTAACAAGGCTCGCTGACATCACTTCACTTATCAGTTTTTCCTTTTTAAAAATTAAAGTTAGCATAACTGTTATTCTTTCTTATTTTGTTTCTAAAGCAATGTATGTTTGGTTCAAATGTGAATATTATCCAGAAATGTATGCCAAGGAGTCTTCCATAGTCTCAACTTTGGGGGATATGCTATTGTGTGTCTAGTATATGTGTGTCCAGATCTTTCTTATATATGTACCAAACTAGAATCATACTTACTCTTTTGCAGCCTGTTTCTAAGTCAGTACATACAACTAAATATTTTATACTTTATCCTCAATTCTTGGATATTTTGTATGCTGTTGTTTGGGTTGACCAGCAGTATAGTGTAGTAATTAAACATAGAAGGGTTAGAGTCAGATGAATCCCAGCTATACCACTACTAACTGCATGACCTTGGGTAAGTCATTTAACCACCCTTGTAACCAAAGTGAATTCTCTCCTTGGCGAGTCATAGATAGAAACTACACCAGGTGAGTTGTGACACAAAGGAAAGTTTATTTGCAGCAAATAAGGAGATCTTGGGGAGTAATTCCAAAGCCATGACTCCCCAGGCAAGAGTGAATGGTTCCGATGTATAAGGTTGCGCATGTGCCTTAAGGAAACATTGTATGTTATATAAATGAGGCTTGTGCTCCTCCTTGGGCAGAGATTTTAGGGTAATAATGAGATAAAGGTAACTGTTGGTCATCCCAGAGGTCACTCCATGGTCCAGCTGCACAGATGTGAAACAGGGGTTTAGTTCCAACTGATCCGGGTGGTCTGGGCCACTAGAGCTCTTCCTCTGGACAGTCGTTATTGCTTGAGAGGTAGTTTCAGTTTCCCTTATGGGATGTTATGGCTGTAGGGTAGCCGTCAGCTGTCACCATACAGTGCTATTAAGTACTATTGACGATATTCCCTGTGCTGTGCCTTTAATTTTTGTGACTTATTCATGCCATAACTGGAAGCCTGTACCTCCCACTCCCCTTCCCCCACCTTGCCCATCTCCCTATGCTTCTCTCCTCTGGCAGTCATCAGTTTGTTCTCTGTATTTATGGGTCTGCTTCTGCCTTTTGTTTGTTCATTCATTTATCTTGTCTTTTAGATTCCACATATAAGTGAAATCATATAGTATTTGTCTTTCTCTGTCTGACTTATTTCATTTAGCATATACCCTCTAGGTCCATCCATATTATTGCAAATGGCAAGATATCATTCTTTTTTATGGCTGAATAATATTCCTGTGTGTGTGTGTGTATGCACATATATACACACCACATCTTCTTTATCCATTCATCTATTGATGGACACGGGTTGCTTCCATATCTTGGCCATTGTAAATAATGCTATAATAAGCAGAGGAGTGCATATATCTTTTTGAATTAATGTTTTGGTTTGGGTAAATAGCTAGTAATAACTGGATCATATGGTATTTCTACTTTTAATTTTTTGAGGAACCCTGCACTGTTTACCACAGTGGCTGCACAGGTCCTTTTTTTTTTTCTTTTTTTTTACAAACCCTTGTGTCGAGGGCTGACTTTCAATAGATCGCAGCCAGGGAGCTGCTCTGCTACATACGAAACCCCGACCCAGAAGCAGGTCGTCTATGAATGGTTTAGCACCAGGTTCCCCACGACCGTGCGTTGCGTGACGGGCGAGGGGGCGGCCCCCTTTCCGGCCGCGCCCCGTTTCCCGGGACGAGGGGCTGCACAGGTCCCTTTTGATGGATGTTTGTGCCATTTCCAATTTTTTACATGTTTTGGCTTCTAAAGAAACTTCCAAGACAAGTTATGAATTGCCCTTAACCTCTATTGCATTTGAGCTCCTGTTTCTTTCTGAATTATCAATACCCAACAACTGCTTATAAGCACTTAACAAATGTTACTATGTTGTTAACACCTCTTGGAGGCAGCGCTAAATGGGTTGAGTGGAATACAGTGAAGTGGTTTCCAGACTAGACCCAAGGGAGTCCACTGCAAGTTTTCTTTCTGCAGAGATGCCATGCCAGGAATGTGAGTGCTAAGCATAGATGGGGAAAAGAAGCAGGAAGATTGGCATCTGAGATGTCAGTCAATGAGTCAAGCTGGAGGCCTGGGCTGGAAAGAAACCAGAGAATGTGTGTAAGCCAGAGACAAACCTGAGGACAAAGAACTCAAAAGGATGTCTTGGGAACCAAATATTTTAGTGTACCTTCTGTGAAATGCTTCACTTTATATAGTTCTCATTTACCTGAGTTATGTTAATATCGATGGGAGCCAAGGACAGCCCACCCCAAGATGGGCCACTTGATATGAAGATGATTTTGAGTTAAAAAGTAATCAAAATCCAGCAGATTCTGGAAAAGCTCTTTACCTTCCCCCACAATTGCCTAAAAGAATTTAGATAGAAGAGTTGCTCCAGGAACAGAGCTATCACCATAGATAACTACGTTAGGGATGGTAGGGATGGTAGACAGGAAGGAACCTAATAGGTCCTGTTTGTTCAAAGTCTTCTCTTTGTCCCACGGTTTCTGAGTGGCCCAGCAAACATTGATTTACCAAACATTTACTCTTTTTTAATTCTTCCTGAAGATTGCATTCCTTCCCTTTGAAGACCCAGCCCCTTACCCCCTTCTCCTTAGTTCAGAATGATATGTATACCTCATTTTGCCTGACTGTCTTTGGAACTTCCCGTCTATGTAGGTTTCCTGTACATACGCTAGTATTAAATTTGATTTTCTCCTGTTAATTTGTCTCATGTCAATTTGATTCAGTGCAGCTAGAAGGACCTTGAAGGGGGCAGGAATTCTTCCTTCCCCATAATATTAATTCCAAAACTACAAGGCTCTTCTCCCTTATGCTCGCACAGGAACTCAGCTCCTTCCTCCCAGTCACCCTGGACCATTTCTGGGAGTCAGGGGACAGGGGATTCTCAGAGGCGCAAGGACAAATGTACTCACCCCCAGGTGCCTCACCAGTCACAGCCTCCGGTGCTGGAGACACTCTAGAGGACCTGCTTGGCTACTTGCTCCTCCCTCACCTGCCACCCCAGGGTAAGTGTGATTTGCTGTTCTTTGGGTCAGAAGGAAGAATGATTCTCAATTCTGTGTCTAGAGAATTGTTAGAGAATTAACTCTTTATTTCTCTCCCGTAAACTCAGTCTCTGCTGGAGTTCCAAAAATGTCCCTGAGGCTGCAATGGGGAAAGGGAGAGGATGAAGAGTATCAGCCATGCCCTCCATTGTCTTTTCTGTTTTATCTTTTCAGTCATTCAAGAACAAATATTGCCTGACCACTGTAGTGAATTTAATATAAAACTAATCCCGACTCCCTGCCTTTTCTGTATCTAGGCGTGGAATCTCCCCCACCTCCATGAATCTGGGCTAGCCTGTGACTGGGCTTTGGTCAGCCGAATATGGCTGATACGATGGTGTGTCAATTCCAAGCCTGCACCTCAAGAGGCCTTGGGTGCTTCTACTTACTCTCATCTCCTCACCAGGCCCTGTGAACAGCCCGGGTTCGACTACTGGCTAAAGAAAAGTCACCTCAGCCCACAGCCAACCACCTGCCCAGCAGAATCCAGAAGAGCTATGCTACCAAACCCAGCCAAGATCAGCAGTGTGTGTAGATGACCTGCTTTCACAGGAGGGATGCCAGGGAGACCAGAAGTACCACCCAGCTAAACCACAGACTTGTGAACTAAAGAAGGTCTGTGCCATTCGAAGCCACTGGGTTTTCTGTTTGAGCCTCATTTTGACAATAGATAACTGATACAACCCTCTTTCTGATCTCCAATATATATATATATATTTTTTGTTTGTTTGTTTGTTTGTTTGTTTGTTTGTTTGTTTTTCAGATTCAGACACCTCTGAAAAGCTCAACAAATAGCCAAACTCTAATTCTCAGTCCAGATTCAGCCTGGATACCCTGCTGCCCTTACAACAGTCTGTGATAAGGATACTGCAGCCAGAAGGGGGTATTTTAGTTTAGCAGATGTCAGGAAGCCTAAGGGAAAGCTAGTCAGCCTGCTGGGAGAGACACACATGAGGAGTATGGGTGCAGCTACACCCTACCAATCTTTAATAGGGCCACAAAGATCCCAGTAAGTGTGGTGTGATAGCATTTCTTGTGCAAACCAGCAAGGGAGGCCAATCTCCCCATTTTGAATTGAGTTGGAGCTGAAATGAGACCGAGAGCCTCCAGAATCAGAAGGAAGATGCTGAGCTGCCCCAGACCCTTGAATCAAGGCTCCAGCCCAGTTGATCTATAATCTCTGATGGCAGGGAAGCCCTCTTAGGGGAATCCGAATGACATATTAACTTCAGTTTATAACCTGTCTCTACGCTTCTTTCAGAATGCCAAGTTGCCTTATCTAATTCTAGCCCCTAGTTGCTACTGCTCAATGTTGGAACCTCCAGTGATAAAGTTCCTCGGTCGATGCTAAGAGGAGAGCACTGTTAAGTGTGTATGGTGAGCCCTGACTACGGACTGTTCTTCTCCATCTGATTGCTAGGCAGCTTCTCTTCCCTCAGTATCCCCTTCCTCTTCATTCCTTATTTCTAGGGACTTTTCCCTGCATACCTAGGGCAGATGAATACCAAGGCAGCACCCTGGGCGGCTCTGAAGTGTGCCAGTGGGCTCTCCTGACAGAGCTCCTCTCAGACTGGGGCCTTGCCAGTCATACCAAAGCTGCCCGCAGCCCCACAAATGGCCACCGCAAGGCAACAGGCCATTAGCTGAAAACCTAAGGATTGACAACTGGGTGCAGAGAAAGCAATAAATGATCAGTTGCTGATAGTTGATTTCTAGTTCTGTTTACCCTTTTGAGTAATAATAAACAAAAAAGTGAGGGTGAACATAGGAAAATCCTTCTTAACTTCATAGTTTAGCCTCTTGGGCTGAGAGTGAGGGTTGAGTTGAGTTTGGCCCTGTGATGTGGTTAATGTGTGCCCTGCTCCCCGATAGACTTTTCTAGACATTTTCCCAGCATAGTTATAGTTCTGTGGGTGTGGTCCCAATTGTTTGGTACCTGGCCCTGGGGTGATTTGGGACAGGGGAATAGTGACTCGGTGTGTGTGTTAGATAAAGAGGTGGTTGGGGTTCTGAGCTCAGGACTGGTCAGTTTGCATATCAAAGTCACGCTCGCAGGCAAGTTGTTTGCTATGTCCAAGAATTAGCTAACCCTAGGAGGGGCAGTCCTCCTCAGGTCTGAAAGGCCCCAACATGCCAAAATGGCATAAAATAAAGAAAATTTTAAAATGTGATAAATACAGCAGGCCAGGAGACTATGCATCCTCCGTATTGACCTTGAACACCCAAATTACTGGGACACTCGACGGCTTCTGGGCCTCCTCGCAAGGTCGGGCATTTTAGGACTCAGTATTCTGCCTTCTAACTATTCACAGAAGTCATTCTTAACAGCTCAGTCCAGCTCTCTTGACCCAGAGCAGCTCTTTGCTTTTTCAGGAAACAAACGGGATGAAAGTGCCGGGCTGGGACTTCCTCCTTGGGATGTTTGACCAGGACTGACGTACTCGAGGCCCCTTGAATACAGGAAGTCCAGAACACACCCAGTTTCTTGAATGTAGTTTTCTTGAATGCTGAACGCTGGAGTGTAGGTAAAAGGACAGAAGGAAAACAACTCCAATATGAGGGACCCACTGACAGATTGCTCGGTGAGTAGCTCAGTGTGGTGAGTTTATATACTAATGGGTTTTAACTTAAGGAATTTGAGACGTTCGGAAGACAAATATGTTTAGATATTGGCCGTGATACAAAAGTCTTGTGGCTTTTCTTTGGTTCGATTTAAAACAACCCTTTCTAGCAAATGACAGAGCAGGTTAATTGTCATCTTTTATTCTCGTATTGTTGGAAAAACTTCAAGGGGGTATAGATAGCATCATATTTGCTTGCAGATGGTGGCTGTTTGGAAAACATTCTTAAGAGTTACACCAATGGTGCCAACGTGGTGTGTAGAGTGGCTACACAAACACTCAGAATCTGCAGCCAATTTGAGGCTCTGAGAATGAAGTTAGGGCGGGAGATTTTGGCATATTTCCCCATATCATGTAAGGTCCAGAATTGTAAGGCCTGTAAGTGGAAGGACGGGCCCCCCACCCTGCCCAGCCTCCCGTGGTTCCTCACACTGGTCTACCAACATGTTTGTTTAGTCCTGGGAGTGTTCTCAAAAAAAGAAGATGGATCAAAAGTCCAAAGATGGGGTGAGGTTGTTGACAGCAATAGTAGAGATGAAATTTAGGAAATAAGGAGCAATTAAAATAAGGCGTGTAGGGGTGTATATACTCTGGACGTAAAATAATCAAGAATCATCAGGGTGTTAGCTCAATAAAGGGTGGCAAAAAACTAAGATCGGTGACATCAGAAGCAAGGTGTTGCATTCATCCCTCAAGTATTTTATCAAAAAACCCCCAACAATTACAAACTGTGGAGAAGCAGATAAATGAGGGCTACAATAAAGCCTATAAAGAAGAAGAGCAACAGAGAATTACTGGTTTCATTTGTGTTTATACAATGGACAAAGCACAGGTTTAGAGAAAATGGAGCTGTAAACGCGACCGCGCAAAACGAGTTCATGAATCAGATGGGCTTAATGAGATGAAGTCGTAATGGCTAATAATATTAATAATGACCGTGTAATAGCAAGCTCTGTCTACTTCTACTTTTTTAAATACAAAAGTAAATATGTGTCTAATGTAAAAACGAATTCCAACAATATAGTTGTATATAGATTCTAAGATGGAAAATTCTCCCCTTTAATTTCCTCCATCCCAATCTTCTATTTGTAAGCACAGATAATTTTTTGTTCATGTATTTGCTGTTTATTTTTCTCTCTCTGCATTTGCCCCCTAACCAAATGTTAACCCCTCTCCTTTCTTCCCACTGATACTCTGATGACGTTTTTGCATAGGGGTATTTGAGTGAGACAGGGATGGGGTAAGTGGAGGCAAAAACTTGACATTAACAGTCACCAAAGAAGAAAGTCACAACCACGTGAAGAGGAGATAGAAGAGAGAGAAACTGGGACCAAGTTAATTTAACGCAACAATAACACGAACGCGAACTAATCGCCTAATGTCCTTTTCAAAGGCTGACTTCAAATCAGGATCTGGGAGACATGTTTCCTTCTAAGCAGCCCCCAGGAGAACCCGTCACCACATGTGTGGGTCAGCCTCATGCTCCCTCCTTAACGTGCTGAGGGGTTATTTTCCCTCAGCTGAGCTACGTCCCCAGGGGCTCCCAACCTTGTCCACAACCTGAAGGTTGTCTCTCTGGGCCAGGTGCCATCAAAGGTAGTCTGGGAGTCAAGAGGAGGCGGATATCCCTTCAGCCAGGTTTCCCAAATCCTCTAAAGTCATGGAATCTTTATTTATTTGCAATTGTTTCATTTTCAAGGGTTCACGTTGATTTCCTGGCGCAGTTCTAGTTTGTGCTTGGGGAATAATGTGTGAAGATGAAGCTGCAGTTGGGCGGCAGAATAAAACAAAGGAATGGACTGCCGATGAATGCTTCCTGAAACACGGGCATGGCTTTGTGAGGAAACCAAAGAGAACCCAAAGTTTAACTACCTGCAAAATGTCTCATTCTGTCCTTAGGGTTGCATGGAACACACTTAATTCATAAAGCCTTAGCTTACCTACAGTTTTTAAGCTGGTCTGCCCCGGTGGGTCCATGTATGAAAATCAATGGTTACATGAAATTCAATGGGAAAAATGTGCCTCTTTGTTTCTACTAATTTCTAACTGAAATTTAGAATTTACTTCAGAGGTGCCTGGGTGACTCAGTCTGTTAAGCGTCTGCCTTCGGCTCAGGTCATGATCCCGGGGTCCTGGGATTGAGCCCCGTGCTGGGTGTCAGGCTCCCTACTCAGTAGCCCCCCTCATGCCCCTGCCTCATGCTCATGCGTACTTTCTCTCTCTCTCTCTCTCTCTCTCAAATAAAAAAAAAAAACCTTTAGAATTTACTTCAATTCTGAATATAAGCAACAAACTTCAGTACTACCACAGTGTCTGTGATTTGTAACCAAAAAAAAATCACCGACATTTTTATATGATATTATAGTGGTTGTAATTATCTAGAAATATTGTTTACATTCCGTGTGATTTAGAAATTTGAGTTATTCTTAAGACTTGTTATTTAGTATGTTAATTTAAAAGCACACATATAATTTTTAAATGTTTTAATAAATATATATCAATATAATGTTTCTTTTGCAATCCTATGTTATTTTATCTAATGCATTTAAAAATTCTGAGTAAAATATAGATTTCACAACACAGCCAAAGGAACCATAATACAAAAAAATATTTTAAAATCTCTTTTTAAGTTCATGCTCCAGTGACCAAGATAGGCTAATAGCTGGGCTATTCAACATCAAACAGCCTGGTCAGTGTCTATGCTCAAATTATTAGTCACCAGGGTAGCACAAATATTGCCTAAATGTTGTGTAGGCTTTTAACTAATCTTAAGAGTGTCAGAACTTATTTGAGGAAGATTTTTAAAGTTCTGTTTTTGAAAAGGAACAGAATTGGCTCTGAGCCTTAATGTCTTGATGCCTCTGAGTTTAGCTTCTATACCTACAAAAAAAAAAGAAAAAGAAAAAAAAAATGCCAAGCGAAATAATTTTCAAATCCAGGTGCAAGGAAATAGACAGGAATCAAATTATCTCCAAATGAAATAATCTAGTCATTTTTCTTCAAAAGCAGCACCTTCCTATGAAATAATGCCACAGAAATCATGGGCAAATAACAAGCTATAACCAAATTTATGTTTTTACTCACTCGTACGGTATCCAGGTAGGGACCTGTCAAAGCAGGCATTTTGGGCTCCACACAGTCTGTCCCTTCCCTTAACATCATCAGCTAGGGAAGCAGTACCAGCCAAGCTGTGGGACGGCTCCTTTAACCTGGCTCACGTGCCGATCTGGGCTTCCCATCTCAGTGGCTCAGCCTGGGCCATGGGATGCTCACTTGCATTAAGATAGAAGATAACGTTACAATGGTCCATGGCTTCTGAGGGATTTGGGTTCTTTGCAGAGATAAGGCGGCAGATTGGGTCCGACCACATAGATGTCCTGTGGCCCACAGCATCCCTGAGATAGTGTGATATGCCATCCACATCTCACGGGCCTGTTTCCTCTTGTAAAGTAAGAAGAGGAGAGGATGGAGTAGACTATGTTCTTTAATGTCCAAATCTCATAACTTATGATGGTTTGTCGTGGGGATTCCAGATCTTACCTAGATAATCCCTTAGTTAAAGGAGCAATGGTTTGAAATATTATCCCCCGTGAATCAAGATTCACATGAAATCAGTAGCACAGTGCCTGTCATATGAAGGGCATCAAACAAAAGCTTATTTGATTAAATATAAGTGGAATATCATGGTTTATTTAATACTATGAGGATATCACTGTCCAAAAACTTTCCATACTGCCATTTAGAATAGAAATGGACTTTTTGGGAATAACTGAATTTAACCTTAATCATTCCAATTGTGGAAAATCAGAAAGAACAGTTAGTCCAGGGTTGATACAGTGCATTTGATATTGTTTAGAAGTTATCTAATTATTCCATGTGCCCATTACTTTGATTGCTCCATTTTGGTGATAACAACATTTATACAAAAGAATTTGCTTACAAATTCTGGGCAGAAATATTTTTTAAAGACTGAATGGGAAATGCCTGTGTGTACCAGTTTTCTCGGTGAAGAGTTTTTTTAGGGGCTCAGAAACGTCCCAAATATTCCACCACTTGCCTGAACTGCCTTTATCAGGGAAAAAATACATAACTTTTTTCCAATTAATTAATGACCCCAGGGAGAGACAGCATATTAAAAAAAAATTCCTATGGATATGTAAGATCAATAGTATGGTCTTTTCTTCGTGGAATGAATATTTGGTAGGGGTGGGGTATTTGAAAATTCAATGGGTGGGGAAAGAACACCAAAAATTTACCTTCCATATGATTTTGACTAAAGAAAACACTTCTTGTGCTGGTTGATGACATTAGGAAGCCATTTGTACTGATCATAATACTTAAAGGTAACTATTACTCCATGTAAACTTAGTGTAGTTATACTGATCAGCTATTTATAAATATATTTATTTCTGATGGTTTCTCTAATTGATTGGCTCCCCTAATATTTCTAAGCACGGTTCTGCCCTTAACTAATGAAGTTATTCTCAGCTCTTTGGTGCTTACCGATAAAATAAAGGGATTAGACTTTAGGGGTTTTCAAGCTGTGCTCCATGGAATCCCTTCAGTGGCCTCTCTGGTGGAAGAGGGTGGGTTGGGAAGGAGAGGTGAGATAGCAAAGGGAGAGCCAAGCCCAAGGTCAAGGGATTTTACCTTAAAGTACACATGTTCCAAGATTTTCTGATCTCATACACACAGGACAAGATGGTCCTGGGTTCTGCTTTGATATTTATGCAAGTCTGCTTTTCACAGATTTTGTCTTTAAGTCTGAGTAGATGGTACATGATGAAAGGTACAGAATCACTGTTTCTAAAGAAGGGCTTATGCTGCACTAATGGAAGTATTCTTAGCAACTCTTTTATTTATCTATGTCACCTTTATCTCAGGGGAGATCAGGGTTTGTTGGGGAGTGTCCGGTACATTGCATATGGGGTCAAAGATAAAGATTCTCTCAGTTGCTCTCTAATAAGAACATCCTGCTGTCCTCTGATCATGAACTTAACAACAACATAATGTACTGAGAAGCTTCTGGACTAGCATGTGCCTGGGCATCCTGGAATTTGGTGAATGGGTTATAGGTGTACCTGAGACATGAAACTTGGCAATCTTCAAATTGGCAGGATGTGGCTGGGTGCAGAGTGCGGGGGGCGGGGCTTGGAAGAGCTCCAGGCCAGTTTCTTCTGCCTTGAACAAGTTTGTCCATTTACCACACACTGTCCCAGTACAAATATCATTTTTTATTATTTAATTTATTATTTTTTAAAGATTTATTTATTTGAGAGAGAGAGAGCACAGGGGGAGGGGCAGAGGGAGAGGAAGAGAGAGTCTTAAGCAGACCACGCTGAGCAGGGAGCCCAATGCAGGGCTCGATCCCAGGACCCCGAGATCATGACCTGAGCCAAAACCAAGAGTCAGATGCTTAACAGACTGAGCCACCCAGGTGCCCCCAAATATCATTTCTTAGGTGTGCCATGATATGAAAGCATTAGGAAGTACCAGTCTGTTAAACAACAGGAAATCATCTTCTAAAATCTAAAACCGGCAGGCCCAGGATCAACTGAAGCATAAGCTGTGCTTTGCTTTAAACAGTTGAGTTTGAACGACTGGGGAAAGACAGGGACTCTCCACTTTCTCACAGGATCTCCAACTCCCCCCAAAACAACTGAGTTTTGAATCAATGGCTTAGAAACTTTCAGGGCTGTCTGGCCTCCTAGAACTAGTCCCCTGGAGATAGTATTTTAAAAACATGTCTTGGAGAGGTTTGATGGCCTGATAAATAGAAAAATTCTCTACTGGTTCTTCTCATTTCCACCTTGGTTAGGGGCAAGATTTCCCCTCCAAACCCCCATCCTCACGCGTGGGGTCTGAGGAACCCTGTTCTCTTCCAGGACTGTTGGGCGCAGACTCCTCAGGCGATGGGGCTAGTGTGGGCCCATCCCCCAGGACAGCTCAGCTCACAGTCCCTTCCCTACACTCCTGGTTCTGCTGATGGTTCTTCTCACTCCCGGTCTGAAGCCTCCAAAATCCTCTAATCCATGTTTCTGCTTTGTCTTCTCCCAGCCCCGGCCTCATAGTGTTTCAGAGCAGGAGAACTCACCCTGCAAGCATGCACTGGAATCTTTCTCTCTTGCACATGGCCCCCTGGTGTTTTTGTCGGGTCTTTGTTTCTGCTTTGCTGTGGGCTGGAGACCGAAGCAGATAGGACATTACATAAAAAAACTCACAGTTTAATACTGTGAGATATTTCTAAATAAATCAAACAGGAAAGCTATAAGACTTATAAAGAAAATCATAAAATTTTATTGAACATAAAATAAGATGAACACATGAAAAGACTTACTATGTCCTTGGATGGGAAGTCTAAATACCATAAAAAAGTCAATTTCCCCAAATTGATATATATGTAATACAATTCCAATTAGGATCCCAATAGGGATTAAAAAAATGTAATTAGATAAATCTTCATATGGAAGAATAAATGTCCAAGTATAGCCAAAGAAATTATGAAAAGGAAAAAACAGTTGGTTAAAGAGAAAGCAGAAGCAAAGTGTTAAATATCTCTATAACTTAGGAAGTGAGTTCATAATGGGTATCATTATTATTATCTGTATCATTATTATTTTATGAAACATAAAAATGTTTCATAATTTAAAATAAAAAGTTAAGAGGCTATATATGAGTTAGAACTATGTTCAGCTGCACATTTTATTTTTTTTAAGATTTTATTTATTTATTCATGAGAGACAGAGAGAGAGAGAGGCAGAGGGAGAAGCAGGCTCCCTGCTCCAATGTGAGACTCCATCCCAGGACCCTGGAATCATGACCTGAGCTGAAGGCAGACGCTTAACGACTGAGCCACTCAGGTGCCCTCAGCTGCACATTTTAAAATGAGTGGCTTTTAAAAAAATTGTATTTCTCTCACGCAGAAAGTAAGTCCAAAAGTAGAGAGCTGAGGGCATGTGTGGTGGCCCCCAGGGCCTTCGGGGACCCAGGCTCTTTTTCTCTTTCTGCTCTACCATTTTAGCACATGGTGTCATCTCAAGATCACCTTATGGCATCAGCCATCGTTTTCTTTCTTTCTTTCTTCTTTCTTTCTTTCTTTCTTTCTTTCTTTCTTTCTTTCTTTCTTTCTTTCTTTCTTCTTTCTTTCTTTTAATTCAATTTAATTGACATATACTGTATTATTAGTTTCAGAGGTAGAATTCAGTGATTCATCAGTTGCATACAACACCCAGTGCTCATTCCTTCAAGTGCCCCCCTTAATGCCCATCACTGGGTTACCTCACGCCCCTCCCCTCCAACAACCCTCAGTTTGTACCCTGTAGTTAAGAGTCTCTTATGGTTTGCCTCCCTCTCTGTTTCCAACTTATTTTATTTTTCTTTCCCTTCCCCTATGTTCATCTGTTTTATTTCCTAAATTCCACATATGAGTGAGATCATATAGTATTTGTCTTTCTCTGACTGATTTATTTCGCTTAACATAATAACCTCTAGTTCCATCCACGTCATTGCAGATGGCAAGATTTCATTCTTTTTATGGCCGAGTAGTATTCCATTGTATATAAACACCACATCTTCTTTATCCATTCCTCTGTCAAACTTTCCGTAGTTGGGCTATTGTGGACATCGCTGCTATAAACATTGGGGCAGCCATTGTTTCTTAATTTCAGGTGTCAGGAAAGAGGAGGAAGAAAACTTCACTGAAACCCCACACAGTACTCTCACCCATGCTTCCTTGCGAAGCATTTAGTCACATGGCTTCACCAAAGGGCCAGACACTGAGAAATAACTTTATTCCAGGGACGTGAGCCCTGCTAAACATGTACCTATTTTCTTCTCATGATACCTCTGTGTGATTTGTGGGATGTTATTTGGTGGTGTGGGAGGAAAATAAAAGTCTTAGGGGAACATAGTGAAAATGTTTAGGCAATGGAGGAGCAAACAAAAAAGCTAAACAGTTTTAAAATGCTCGCTAAAACTTTCCCACTGTACCCATAAGGGGAGGAAAGGGGCCTTATAATATCACATCGTTCCTATGACAAGTTATTTTTATGGAAATAAAAATGACTTGGTTGCCAAATAGTGATTTACTCTCATGACTCAGAGGACAATCACTTTCTCATGACAGCCTACACCTAAACCTCACCATCGGTATGTTTTGCTGGCTCTGCCAAGAGCTTTAAAATTTGTAAATTGTTGGCTACAATTATTTTCAGAAAATCATATTTCAGATGCTAATCCTTATTTCAGCTTTTTGAGACAAACTGGGATATCTGGCCATCATGGGCCACATTCCCTTGGTCCAGAGCAGTTGGGACAGCTGTCTCTCCAGCTCGCTGTCCCCACCCTGCTGCTCACTCAGGTATGGACAGGTGCCTGCAATCACATGATTTTGCAAACCTTGCTTTAGGAGTTAACAATGTCTTTGTAAAGAGCTTTGCTCCCTGACCACTGTCCTTGAGCCCAAGGCAGTTTCATCAAAGCTGTTTGCTACTCCTGTGTGTCTCCCAAATCCTGCCCTGGCTTGCGGTGCTAAGTTCAGAGGGAAGTGAAACCACTGCATGAAGATAAAAGAATTTGGTATCTATAGGATTGTGTTCCTATATCCTAGGTACTGGTTCTTTCCAGCCCCGAAAGTCATTTTTTTAGGTCCTTTCCTCCTCCATAGCCCCGTGTCCTCTGTTGGCTACTCTGCTTGCACCATATACCAGGTCCTCCCGTGACAACTGAAAGGTTACCTGGGCCCTGAGAACTCACGTATGTGAACCTGCTGGCTGCATAGTAGGTGCTCACTGAATGTGAGCTCTCCACGCAGTGCCCAGCTGAGCGCCCCTGGAGCGCTGGAGGAGGCTGGCTCATCAGATGAGCAAAGAGCTACAGCATGGCGCTCGTTTCATAGAGGACTTTCATCCTCTTCTGTAAAATCTCATTTTTTTTTTTCTGAAGATTTTATTTATTTATTTAAGAGACTGGGGGTAGGTGGGGCAGAGGGAGAAGCAGACTCCCTGCTGACTGGGGAGCCCCACTTGAAACTCGATCCCAGGCCCCTGGGATCATGACATGAGCTGAAGGCAGACACTTAACCGACTGAGTCACCCAGGCGCCCCTAAAGTCTCATTTTAAAAAAAGCAATGAGGTATCATAACTGCCAGATGGAAACTCTGAGGGAGGGCTCTTGGGACGGTTCCACCACCTAACTGAGCTACTCTGTGTCAGGAAAGCTGCAGAATTCATTCACATTTACTCTCTCCATCTGAGCACTTTTACAAATATAATTTTCAGAGTGACATTGTGGAGTTCTAAATCAAATGACAAAAACTTTCCCTTGGAAATCTTGTGTCTGTAGGCTAAATTCATATAGAAATGAATTTCTAAAGATTTATTCATACATGTATAAAAGTTTGGTACAACAAAAATGTTCAACTCCTCGTTACAACATTCTTATTACTAGAGTTAAATGAGATATAGAGGGACCAGGGCACATATTACCAACAAGTTATTCACTTACATCTTCATATCTCAGCCCCCCAAAACATTCACTTTAAAGAGTTTGGGGTTTGACACCCAGGAATATTATTGTAAAGCTTTGGGGGGAGGCAGAAAATGATTACTCAGTATGCATATTTCAGAATGTACTTTTAACCATCCTGGGAACAATAGAAGTGACAGGAAGTCAGACTTTAAAATCACCCCACTGCTGAGTCGTTGCCTGGGGAGAAACAGACAGACCAACTTTATTTTTGAAAAGTTCTCCAAGATATTTCATATCCAAGCAGAAAAGACTTAATCTTTATTTTAGGAACTCATCCAAAAAATGTGCGTCCCCGTAGCTGCATGATCATTTACAATGACAGTCATCATTACAGAGCATTGTGAATTTATAGGAGTTCTACCTTTGGAAGTGCTTATAACCCGTCTGTGCATCTTTTCTTTTTCAGTATAATAAAGTGTACAAGAACCTAAAGGAGTTTTCTCAAAATGGAGAGAATTTCTGCAAGCAGGTCACATCCATTCTCCAGCAAAGGTACAAAACGCACATTTGCAATAAACAGTTCTTCCTCTTTAGTTGCAGCTAACGATATGACTGGAGGAGTGATTACAAGCTGTCCTACTTTCCAGAACTCGGTGTTATATTTTGGTAGTTGAGAGACTGATTTGAAGAGTGATTCTCCTCTATTGCACATTTATCACTTGGGTACCATAAAAATCAAGAAACAACAGGAAGTAATTCTGCTTGGGAAGGCTCAGTCAAATTTCTTTTGATTCCTCAGACTGAGTTTATCACCCCCTCCTGGGGCACTCCCTTGTGCCTGTGTGTCCGCCATTATTGTACTTCCCACACTGATGGCAATTATGAGTTGACATTTCTGTCTCCCCTACAAGGGCAGGGGCTATGCCTTGCTCATCTTTGTGTCCTGAGCTTTGAGAGTCTGGGCTTTTGACTTTGTCGGTAAATGTCTGATATATGAAAAGTGACCATTTTCAGTATCACCTTGTCTTAATGCTAGACGTGATCATGTGTCAAGTTGGTGACTGTGTTAAAATGAGCACCCTTAACTCAGTCAAGAAAGTTACAGAAGTTCCTGTTTTGAATTGGGCCATAAAGGGTCTTTAAGCCATTTCCCTACATCTAGACAGCTCTATCATAAACAACTCTAAAGAGACCTCCAGAAGAGGTCTTCTTTTAAGGTAACCTTTTCAGATTTAAAATAATTGCGTGTGTGGTAGACATGGGCCGATTGCATCCTGCATTAGTAAGACAAGAGCAAAGGGGAACATTAACTTTATCAGGAACCATACATGAGGCCAAGGAATGATACAGGAAAGCTCAAACAGGCATTTATTAAAAGAAAAAAAAAACCCAAAAGAACAAAAAACAAAAATAAGTTTGTCAAACAGCGTCAAAAAGAAAAAAAATTAAAGTAAGTTACTTCTATAGCCAATTGCCTTGATTCTATGAGAGGAACAGGTAGGACCAATCTGAGAGGGAATCTCTCCTGTAAGAAATCTTTTTTAGTCTCAAAAGAAATTATTTTAAATATGACCAGTTAGCTATTATACAAATTCAACCCATTACCTATATTAGAAAGTGCTTCCCTCCTGCAGATCAGGAAGCATCTGTAAATATATTAGCCGTGCATGTGACCTGGAGTAGAATCATCTGGGCTTTGATTATTTTGGTGCACCTGTGTTCAAGATTCGTGCCCAGTAGAGACCTATGAAGACAGAAGGCAGGTGGTAAATAATGCCTGGCAAACCAACTCAACAGTGAACAGAATAAATTTGAGGGCATCATTACCCCCAAACTGCCTTATTGCTTTTCCCTTGTCCAGGTCACTTACGACACCTCCACCCTGCCACACACATATCTACTTTATCTACAGTCAGAGCCTTCATTTCTTACCTGTGTCTCTCCTGAAGTTGTTTCCTCGGGCTACCATCTTTCCTAGACTTAGTCATGCACAAAGCCTTCCACCCACACGTTCTAGAGCTGCAAACGAGCTCTGACGAAGAAAAAACACTTGGGTAGCTAAGAATATTTCTCTCCATGGTTTTACCTTCTTATGGAGCAGAATTTAGAATTTGAAGATCTTTTTTTTATTTTTAAGATTTTTTATTTATTTGACAGAGAGGAAGAGAGAGAGCACAAGCAGGGGGAGCTGCAGGCAGAGGGAGAGAGAGAAGCAGGTTCCCCACTGAGCAGGGATCCCAATGGGGGGGCTCCATCCCAGGACCCTAGGATCATGACCGGAGCCGAAGGCAGACGCTTAACCGACTGAGCTACCCAGGCACCCCCTAGAGTTTGAAGATCTAAAGAATACTACTAGTTAGCAAAATTACATGCACTTTTCTGGGATAAAAACTACATAGCATAAATACAAAAGGGGAATCTAATATTTTACCCCAACCAGCAAAATTATGCTAGATATTAGGTCATTTATGCAATAGGTGGTTTCCTGGACATTTTGTAAAGCTAATTAATTAATTAATCAGTTAATTTTAAAATTTGAAGTCATTGGGCGTCTGGGTGGCTCATTTGTTGGGCGTCTGCCTTCGGCTCAGGTCATGATCCCAGGGTTCTGGGATCGGTCCTGCATCGGGCTCCCTGCTCAGCGGGGAACCTGCTTCTCCCTTTCCCACTCCCCCTGCTTGTGTTCCCTCTCTTGCTGTGTCTCTCTCTGTCAAATAAATAAAATCTTTAAAAAAAAAAAAAATTTGAAGTCATTAACATACAGTGGAATATTGGTTTCAGGAGTAGAATTCAGTGATTCATCACTTATATACAACACCCAGTGCTCATCCCAACAAGTGCCCTTGCTCTCACCCATCTAGCCCATCCCCCACCCACCTCCCTCCATCGAGTCTCTAATGCTCTCTATCATTAAGAGACTTATGGCTTGTTTCCCTCTCTCCTTTTTTTCTTTTCCCCCTTCCCATATGTTCATCTGTTTTCTTTTGTAAAGCTGATCTTATACAATTGAATAATTTCTCCTTAACCAAGATGCCATTTGAGTTGCTTTGTATCCATTCCTGATAAATGTGCTTTTGGCAATGTCTCCTTACACCTGAACTTCAGGCTCTCCTTCCTTGGCTCCGCTGTTGGATCATGTAGGTAACCTGAAGGATGTTCATCCACACTAAAAGAATAGGTAATTTGGGAGAACTGTTTTCTAATGGACACAAACTCTCTATTAATCCATGAATACGTAAACATTGTGTTTTTTCCATCTGTATTTCTGTATGTTAACTGGCAAATACAGAGGTCACTTCGCTTGCCAGGACTGGGTTATTTCTTTCCCATGGGGAGTGATTCTGAAGTCACTACCTCTTCCTACAAGGTGTTTTAACTGAGTTGACATAATAACCGTGTCAATAGGAGGAATGGTCACAACATAGCTGCCTTACTCTTTCCATTCTGAGAAATCAGTATTTATTACCCTAGATATACAAAAGATAAAAAGGCTGTTTCCCATCAGCCATCCAGACATGAGTGCCGGGCATATTTTCCTCTTCGTTGGGTAGACTTACTACATATCTACATGTAAGTCAATGATTCCTTTCCCTTGTACTAGAAAAATACATGGAAAGCCAGTACTTTTTATAAAAACGATCCTGTTACTTAGAGTATAGACAAGGAATAAGAAACCCCATCAGGCAAGTAAACGGTACTCTTGAAATACAGAGAGTAGGCATATCCACTGAAGGTATGACATAGAAAATTTTGAAGACAAATCCAGTGGCTGGCATAATAAAAGATACCGTGAGGGAGCATATGGGGCTTCTTCGAACTAAGGGTATCAGTCCCATAATATACATTCAGCAAATACTTGTAGAGTGAATGAATAAATAAATGAAAGTTAGCTAAGGGTTTATTTTCTTATTATTACACCTACATTACTAGAACAAGGTCTCTACTGTCCTTGGATAATAACAGCTCCAGACACCTTGCTTACGAATTCATGGGAATGTGGTTCTGCATGGCAGTTCCACATTAGCATGTGGCTACAAGAGACAGCATCACAATCAAGCTTTAAGTCCAGATAACGCTGCATTGCCAAGCTCAGTTGCCTACCAATTTGTTCTAATTGGTGGTGATGGAAAAGTGCAGTTGTTATTGAAACATCATTTTGCCTGGAAATTCTGCAATTCATGGTCATGCTTAGCTTCTTTTATCCAATTAGTGGCTTCAGTTTCCCTTTGTTTGTAGTAGCAACTCCGATTTAGCCAGAAACACACAACAGCTCCCAAGATGCCTGATGTCAAAGTCGTTGGGTTCACTTTAACACAATCACAGATTGGACTTAAAGGACAAAGGCATATGCCCAGAAACTGTTTGTGAAGGTTTAGTCCCCTGCACCCTCACCGCTAGGCTTTAAACGGGCTTTCATGGGAAAATCAACTGTTCCTCTGTGAGGAAACTTAAAGAAAAGAATAAAACAAAAAAGGAAATGCAATTGGTCATCATTCCATCCACGATTCATTACGGATGCTGTCAACAAAGGAATAAATGATTGAAATGAAAACGTTGATAAATCCTAACCTTTTCTACTCTACCTCTGGCCTGGGTGATCAGAACTTCCACAGCTTCAGCTCTTTTTTGCATATTGAAGACTCGCACATGTATATTACTAGGCAATATGTCTTATTTGTACTCCAAGCCATACAGCCAACACTCTGTTGGACATTTCCACCTGGGTGTCCCATGGAACCACAAATTCAACCTATCTATAACAGAGTGTATCAACTTTTCCCCAAAGCTGGTACTCCTGGATTTTTTTACCATGGTGACTAGGACCTCTGCCCACCCAATCAAGCCCAATACCTGGGAGCCATCTATGACCCCTTCTTCTATCTCACCTCATAACCAAGTCTTCATGTTTCTCTCTTTTAAATACCTTTCATGCCTATAGCTTTCTTCTCATTTCATGGCCTCTGCCATTGTTCTGGGGGAAAAAATCTCTTAACCTGTTCTTCTGTCTAGGAGTATTGTCTTGAAGTGGTGTAGTTTGTACTCTGCACAAAAGCACCTGGCTAAGGGGCTGAGTGAAGGCAGAAATCTAACCCACTCTCCACCCTCAAGCCTTGCACCCTGGATCCAAGCTGTGTCTTTTCAGGGGATCTCCTTTTTCTAATCCAAGTTAGGTTATCTCGACTAGGGAGCTGGCATGGGCCCTGTCCCTATCTCTCTAGTGCATCTTCCACTCTGTGGCCGTGACCCTGTTTCAGGCTCTCCACAGACTTCCACGAGCTTTAGTATAAAATTCAGCCCTCATAGTATTTTATAAAAGGACCTTTTATAAAGGGGGCTTGGCTTCTTATCTAGCCTGTCTCTCTCCATCTACCCTTGAGCCCTGCCCCACTGCATCTACTGAACCGCTGACAGTCACTGCCCCCCCCTTTATGCATCCGTGGCACCTGTCCCACTAACTCCCACCCACCATCATGGGCCCCTGAATTTGTGCATGCTGTATCCTCTGTCAGGTAGACACTTCTTCACCTTGGTTACCAGTCTCCATGCAATGC